TTTTTTGAGACAGAGTCTCACTCTGTCACCCAGGCTGCAGTGCAGTGGCACGATCTTGGCTCACTGCAACCTTCGCCTCCCGGGTTCAAGCAATTCTTCTGCCTTAGCCTCCTCAGTAGCTGGTACTACATACACATACCACCATGCCTGGCTAATTTTTCTATTTTTAGTAGATATGGGGTTTTACCATATTGGCCAGGCTGGTCTCAAACTCCTGGCCTTGTGATCTGCCTGCCTCAGCCCCCCAAAGTGCTGGGATTACAGATGTAAGCCACCATGCCCAGCTCTTTCTCTCCTTCTCTTTCTTTCTCTCTCCTTCCTCCCTCCCTCCTTCCTCCCTCCCTCCTTCCTCCCCGCCCCCCATTACCCAGGCCAAAGTACAGTGGTACAATCATGTCTCACTGCAACCTCTAACTTGTGGCATCAAGTGATCCTCTCACCCTAGGTTCCTCAGTAGCTGGGCACACACAACATGCCCAGATAACTAAAACATTTTTTTGGGGGCAGGGGGGATAGAGATAGAGTCTTTCTATATTGCCTGCCTCAGCTGGTCAAGAACCAGAAGTGCATTTCTCTATTGTGTAATGGAAGGCAAGGTTGGTGGGACATCTTGGCTCTGTGAGAAGATTTAGAGATGAGAGTTCCTCCCATATTGTTGCTCCCCATATCCGAACATGGCTGAAGCTGGGTTATTGCTAATCCACATTCTAGTCCAAGAGAAAGGGGCAAAGAGTCCCAGAGAAGCAGTAATCTTTTAAGCAAATGACTCCAAATTTACACCTCTCACTCCAGCTAACACTCTATTGGTGAGCTCTTGGTCATATGGCCACACCTAGCTGCAAGGGAGTCTGGGACTGTTGTCTTCAGCCGGGAAGCCATGTGCTGGGTAAAACTCTAGGATTATAGGGGAAAGGGAGAATGGAGTACATGGAATAATTAGCACTTGGCCCTAAGAGAGAGACCAGTTAGCTGATGGAGGGGTGGTCAAAAAGGGCCCATATTTGAGAACTATTATCAATCAAGTTCCAATTAGAAGACTGATTCTGAGAGTGCGGGAAAAACTGAAAACTGGATTCAAGTGCTGTTACGAAAGCTGCCACAGTGAAGTAAGGCTGGGGTGACTAGAGGAGGAGGCAAAAAGGAGCAAGTTCCTCCTGCTTCCTCCTGCCCTGCAGGCTCCCTCGGGCGCCCCCTTTAGGCAGAGCCTAATAAGAACCGAGCTGGTAAAGCAGAAATGTGGTTAGTAGTCTCAGCCCAGGCATCATAGAGCCAGTGTCGTGGGGTGGAGCTGACAGACAGTAGCTCAATAACTGGCATACCAGCTATTCTGGGTGTGGCATGGGCAAGCAATTGGTGATGCCTATTTAGGCAGAATAGTGGCTGAGGAGGGCTCAGGTCAGCTGACACTGGTTCTCCGTCCTCAGGAGCTATCCTTATGGACCTGGAGACCCCAGAGGAGATGCAGGCTCGAAGCCTGGGCAGGCCCATCAAATCCTCGTGAGTTGTCCCTGACCCCCGTGACCTCTGTCCTCCGCTCCCCCAAATGTGATGGCAATCACCCCTGACCTCAGAGGTCCCTGCCTGCTTGCTCTCTCCCTAGGAAGCAGTACCTGCGGCGGGTCATTGCAGAGTACGAGGCACTGGACCGAGAGCTCCCGTGTATCCGGAAGTTCTCCACACAACCAGCTGCCCAGCCCCTCTGCCTCTGCATGGAGACCCTGGTGAGTGGCCCGAGGCCCTTATTTGCTGCAGTTTGGGTGGGGTGGTGGGAAAGGCACAGGCTGAGAAGTAGTGTGGCCAGAGTTTAAATGCAGGCTCTGTGGCTGATCAGCAGTGGGCTTGGCACTGGGACAGTTTGCTGAAAATTGGTTGTGAATTTGTCAAATGGTCAGTCATGAATGGGACTGCTCATGTCAGAGGGGAGACCAAGGGGCAGAGAAAGGGAAGATGGAGGGGGGCAGGGAGGGAGTACAAGAGGAGTCCTACTAATCCATCTACTACGAAATTCTGGAAAGTTTACAAATACAACAAACACTCAAGGAAAAGCCCATGCGTGTTGGGTGTGGTGGCTCATGCCTGTAAGCCAAACACTTTCGGAGGCCAAGGTGGGTGGATCACCTGAGGTCAGGAGTTTCAGACTAGTCTGGCCAACATGGTGAAAATCCATCTCTACTAAAAATACAAACATTAGCCGGGTGTGGTGGCAGGTGCCTGTAATCCCAGTTACTTGGGAGGCTGAGGCAGGAGAATCACTTGAACCCAGGAGGTGGAGGTTGCAGTGAGCCCCACCGAGATAATGTCACTGCACTCCAGCCTGGGTGACAGAGTGAGACTGTCTCTCAAAAAAAAAAAAAAAAAAAAGAAAGAAAAAAGAAAAACCCCATGTTTTTGGCAGATTCAGCAAACTAGTCATCCCTGCCTTCAATCAGAAGAGGTATATATTAAGGTCCCAGGCACTCAGTAATTGAATGAGAAGAGTTGATGTCAATGAGTACTTAGTGTGTGCCAGGCAAAGGCCTCCAAGGTACTCTCTCAGCTAATCTGTGTGACTCTCCACCCCACATACAGGGATTGCTGTCCTCGTTCTAGGGATCAATCTCCACCTCATCATTCCACTTCGTTGTGGCTTTGAGCAAGGGACCCTCCATCCTCCCCTCTCAGCCCACTCAAGGAATGCCATTCTAGAAGTGACATCATTTTTCAGAGAAATCACGGAAATTTTCATTTCATTTTAGTTCCTTGGCAATTTTATGTGCAATGAAAACTGTAATCACCCTTGACATGATAATCACGTGCTGCAAATGTGTTTAGTGACCAGTACATGTTTCTCAATGTTAATAGATTGACAAGACATCAAAACCACCTATGACCCTTATCTTTTGACAACCGAATATTCTTAAAATATAAAAGGTAGGGTGTGCAACTTAAATCCTGGCAGAAATCTTCAAGAGCTTCCCGTCACATCCACTGTAGATTGCTGGGAAAGTTTTTGGTAGATTGGAAAAGTTGGCTGAGTTGGTGAATCATTCAACCAACTGTTCATTGCCTTTTGGGCAAATCGGCTTGGTGAGAATTGATTTACCTAGAGTGACAGTAGATGCTTTCCCATCTGAGAGAAAATCTGTTGCTCCTTTGACAATACCGACAGTACCCTGGGATCACGTGGGATCTTTGCCCCTCAAATGCCACCTGGAACTCTGTGGCAGGTTCTGTAGGTGCGGTCTAGGGTGGTTACTTCTGAACCCAAAATGAACCAGGAGGTCACGGGCTGAGGTTGTCTCTTCTACACTCTCAGCCCGAGGAGGATTTTACCCACCTGGAGGTGCTGCAAGCGCTGGAGGCCGAGTTACCGGGGGCCATGGAGAGCGGGCGCGTGAGCAGCATCCGCTTTGAGAACATGAATGTCATCTGTGGGACTGCCGGCCGCCGGAACCGGTGAGCAAACCGCGGAGACCCGGTCTAGAGCTAGCGGGAGGGGCGGGGTCAAGAGTGAGCGCGGCGAGGGGGCGAGGCCCGGAGCGACTAGAGTAGAACGTGGTTGGTGTAAGGGCGCTGAGGGGCGGGACCAGGAGCCGCTGATAAGAGCGTGGTTGGTGTAAGGGCGTTGGGGGGCGGGGCGACAGAGAAGCGAAAGCGTGACGGGGCGGGGCCAGGAGCCACCAGATAAGAGCGTGGTTGGTGTTAAGGCGCTGAGGGGCGGGGCCCGGAGCCACTAGATAAGAGCGTGGTTGGTGTAAGGGCGTTGTGAGTTGGGGCGACAGTGGAGTAAAGGCATACGGGGGTGGGGCCAGGAGCCACTGGATAAGAGCCAGATTGATGCAGAGCCCTCCCCGAGGGGCGGGGCCTAGAGTGAGCGCGGTTGGAGGCAGGGACCGGTGAGATCAGAGAGAAGGCGGGATCTGTAGTGAGTGGGGATCTGACTTTGAGTGACCTAGAAGTGACCCGGATAAGCACGCCCGAGGTGTGGAGTCTGAGCCTGGAAAGGAAGCTGTGAGGGGGCGTAGGGGCAGGGGTGACAGGGTGGGGACAGGCCTAGGGTGCCTAGGACAGAGCGGAGCCTGCAGCCGCCAGGTGAGGGTCTGACCTTGGGGCGGTTTGAGATGGAGCCTTGATAGACAGTGATTAGGGTGCAGAACCAGACTAAGAGAGGGTAAGGGGGACCAGGCAGGGACTCTTCGACAATCAAAGCCGGGGCTGGGACGACCTGCCAGTTCCTTTTCCGTTCCCACCCGCCTTGCAGGTGGCTCATCGCAGTCACAGACTTCCAGACACGCTCGCGCCTGCTGCGCTCCGGCCTGAGTCCCCGCGGGCTCGCGCACCAACTCGTGCGCCACGACGACCTCCTGCTGGGCGACTACCGCCTGCACCTGCGCCGCTCCCTCGTCCGGCGGCGCATGCTCGAGGCCCTGGGGGCGGAGCCGGACGAGGAGGCCTGACCTCTGAGCCAGTCCCGACTACGCATGCGCACTGCCCCGCGGGCAGGCACCACCCACCCGGAGCCCGGGAGGACAGGGGGCGTTGCCTTCCCAGGAAGGAGGCGGGGCCGGCTCGAGGGGGTGGATACTGTGAGTTTAATTATAAAGAATGACCTGGTACAAAAGCCATTTCTCTCTGCAAAATCTTGTTGGGGAGTCGGGGCAGGGAAGTGATGGGGGGTAGGAATGAACCCCCATGTTATAATTCCGCCTCCCTAATCTTCATCCAATTCCTTTACGTGGACGCTTGGGTCCCAATCCCTTGAGGGAAGACCTGGGCACTGGGGCTTTCAACGCGTGCGGAGCCCTGTCTCAGCGAGAATCGGACGTCCTCAACCGCCCCCCTCCTCTTCCCCTCCCGCCCCCATTGGAAGACAATTCTCGGGCTTTTAGTTCAGGTTTTTTTCTGGATTTTTTTGTGTGTTCTAGGGATTTTGTGGTTTTTTTTTTTTTTTT